TCAAATCTGTTCTTCAAATGATCTCTAAATTCAGATGGGATATATTCAAGGTCATATTTTGGCTCTTATGGACTTGTTTTCATTTTCTTCAGCTACTTGGGGTTAAAGGAAAAGATGGAACAGGAACTCTGGGAAATTCTTCATTAAAAGGATATTGCTTTAATTTTTTTAAAATGTAAATATTTCTATTTTGATGAAAAAATGCAGTTGAAGAAAAAAAAATATACAGAACTATCTTGAGATAAAAATCCTAGTGATACCCACTGCACTACATACATAAGATCATTTAACTTCAAACCAATCTGGGAAAATAGATACTATGCTGTCTATTTTTATCACTGAGGAAATGATTCTTTCATCTAAATCACCATGTCTTTTAGAAGCACCAAACCAACCACTCTACAAATGTCATTCAAGATACTGGAATATACAGAAATAGTAAAGAAAAGCTGACCTTGACAATGTGAAAAGAAAAAGCTAATAAAAAACTGTTGTTGAAGACAGAAAATGTGAATCACAAATAAAGAGCAGAGAGCTCATTTTATGAAGAGTAACACCTTAGCAAATTTGTTCTAAAAGATGTTAGAAATACTAGGATTGTGCAAACTATTATGCCTAAAATGTAAAAGAGGTGCTATGAATAGGACTGAAAGTACAAAACCATTCCTATTTGGGAGAAAATATGGTATAAGTAGAGTTAAGGGAGAACAGAGTCACATGTATGAATAAAAAAATAATTATTTATTGAACATATGTGGGTATGTCAAATATTTTATTTAAAGTACATACGTTTATGTATTAAAATCCTATTTTCAAGAAACATATACTTTGGTCTGTATAAAACCTGCATAAATAAGACACAAAAAGAATATACAAAGCAATAAATGGTATAACATACATAATAAAAATGTCTGGTTTTCAGAAGATGAGATCGTTTTTAGAACTAGCAACCTCACATAGGAAATAATGAAACATAAAAAGTGTATATGCTCAGAGGAATGTGGGACCCTATCCAGAGAGGCAGCGACACCAGAGATGGAGGCAGAGAAGAGGACACAGAAACAGAGAGCAGCTGAGGACTCTAGACTCATGGAAATGGAAAGACTGAGTGCTGGTGGCCAGGAGGCAGGCTTATGGGTAATGTGCCCTGTATTACTGTATTATTAAATTATTATATACTCCTGAGTGTTTTTGTGTACATCCCCCTTTCCTCTCAAAAATCTAGAGGGAACAGAAACAAATACTGTTGAGTGATGATGCACAGAGGAGATTATAAGCATTGCAATGAAACGATAAGTGTAAAACGATGTTCTCCCATGTAAACTATTACTTAATTCACAATAAAAATAAAAAATAAAAAAAAGTGTGCTTGCATAAAAATATGAGTGCAAATACACACTTCTGATCACTGCAATACGAGAAACATGATTTTCAAATAGCATCAATATGACAATCTGGAGATGAAAACACATTTTAAATCTGGAGACAGGGTAGATGGAGACATATAATAGTGGCAAAATTTTAGAAGCACAGACGTTTCCTCCAATTGCTGTTTTTAGTACTGTCCAGTTGGTTCCGACTCATAACAACCCTGATTAGGGTTTCCAACAAGTGGATGATGGATTTGAACTGCTAACCTTGCATTTAGCAGTCTAATGCTTATTGTACAGTGCCTCACCAGGATTCCAATCAATAATCCTTTATCAACAAAATAATTGCTTTCATAATGAGTGGAAGTGCAAAATAAACAAAAAATATTAGATTTACTATTAACACCTACAGAGTTAGCCTTATTATTACCCATACAATGGTAAGTAAATACAACTGATCTTAGAGGAGCTTGGGACAATTATAAAATCATTAAAAAGCTTTAAAACATTATCTTTAGGTAATCAATAAATATTATTTTTATTTAGCATATATAGATACTCCAACCAGAATATTTGTCTTCATTTTATAAACAAGGGCTGAGATAATACTGTTTCCCTTTATAAGAGAAACTCAAGTTTAACAATATTTGATCAAATTTACAACGTACAAAAGAGTGGGTGCTTCATTAGTCTTATTAATTGGTAAACAAATTTTTTTCATTCTTGAAATAAAAATCAGGAACTTTAAAATACGCTTTAAGGATTTCTTTCATGAAGTCTTTATTACAAATAAGACTAAAGAGAGCAAACCAAGTATCACTTTATATCAATACTATATCAACACTATATCAACACTTTACTCCTGTATCACTCACTGCAATCTTTTCAAAGAATGAAAACGGTTGAAGTTTCAATCATAACATTTACTGCATTATCAAGTAGGCAGGAAATTTTATCTGAAAAAACTATGCATGGAAAGGGAGGAAAAAGAGAAAGGAAATAAAACGCAATGTCCTAAAATAACCAAGAGTTGAATAATGACCCAAGTTCATTTAGATGAAGGCAGTGTTGTTTTTCTCTCACATCACTTTGAATCTTTTAAAGTTCCTTAACTGAATGGTGCACACACACACAAGAGGAGGATGCTCTAGTCTTTCAGTCAATATAAAAATTCCTTACCTTGTAGATTATATGCTGCCAACTGAACTGCTGTATCAAAGGGACATTCTAATCTGAGACCAAAACATGAATTTGTTAGTTCAGGAAATATAGAAATACTTTTAAGTCAATCATTTGTTTTTATAATTATTTCTTTTTCCTCTAAATTTTATTTTATTGTTATTGTTGAGAATTTATATAGCAAAACCTACACCATCTAAACAGTTTCTACACACACAATTTAGTGAGATCAATGGCATTCTAGGACAGGGGTTGGGAGCATCTGGCTCACAGGCCGTATAAAGCCCTCGAAATCATTTGATCTGGCCTTGTCAAGGCAACCCGAGTATAGGTGGGCTCAAAATTCAATGAATCTAAGAGCTTTTTTATAGTAACTTAAATTTATATTAAGTGATGTTATAAATATCCAAATGGCCCTTGGCAGAAAAAGGTCCCCCACCCCTGTTCTAGGACTTGTGTAGTTCTTCTCACCCACCTTCTTCGGAGTAGTTTCTCCCCAGTTAGCATAAACTCAACCTGCTGTTGTCAGCTTGCTTTCAGAAAGAGTTTTAAAAATAACACAATGCTCAAGGCAGTCCTCTTTTGCTCTAGTTAAGCAAAACTACTGTTCAGCTTTAAGATGACTTCAGGAATGTTTTGATTTAGGGTTTAAATATTACCTCAGGGCAGTAATTTCAGGGATTTATCCACTCTCCATGGCTTCAGAAAGTCTAGAATCTATGGGAATGTGAAATTCTGTTCTACATTTTGCCCCATTTGATCAGAATTTTTCTATGAAACTGTAACCAAGAAACTTCTTTTAAATTACTTTCAACCACCCAAGAAAATCTACAGTTTACATCCAGTATCTAATACTCACTTTCCACTGAGAATATCTTGTTTTAACTGAAGTACAAACAAATACCTATAAAACAGATTTAAAAAGTATGCATTTAACTAAACAGAACAATACACTGTGAAAAAATAATTTCATTCTTCTATTTTAAGAAGAAACATTCTAATTACAGTATTTTTACAAAGGATAAAGTCTTTAGGGAAAAACAACATGAAGAAAAGGGCAATGAATGAATCACACAACCACAGGGAATAGAGAAGAGACCACAAAACACAGTTTATCAAGCTTAAGAGAGAAAATGTAAAGCAAATGATTGAATCTGAGCCTTGTGATCAAATGTAACTTTACTATGACAACACAGTCTCCATCCTGAAGGGATACAGGAATAGACAGAAGCATAGGGGAAACCACTCTAAAGGAACTCAATGACTCAGCTTTTTCACTTAATAGTTTGTATGCATGAAATCATGACTTTGCAATATAAACACCAATAAATTAAGTACCAAAGAAGCAAGACAACATAAAATAAAGTGTATATAACCTATACAGAACACTGCAGGATAAACTTTGGGCTGTTAACCACGCTAGCTACAGGTTTGCAGTTCAAACCCACCAGACACTCTTGGAAATCCTATGCAGGGTCACTATGAGTCAAAACCAACTCAACATGCACACGACAACAGCAATACAAACCAAATCAGATATAATTTTTTTTAAATTAATTGTTATTGTTGTTGTGTGCCGTGGAGTTGGTTCCGACTCATAGAGATTCTGTACAGGGTTTCTGAGGCTGTAAATCTTTACGGGAGCAGAAAGCCTCATCTTTCTCCCACGGAACAGCTAGTAGTTTCAAACTGCTGACCTTTGCGGTTCACAGCCTGATTCGTAACCACTATGATACCAGAGCTCCTTAGTGGCATCTCAATTGGTAAAGAAACTCAGGAAAACTCAATAATAACAAATCTAATTGCCTCTGCTGGATGCTAGGGAACCAATTCTTTATTTTTGAAAACTGGTAAATATAGGAAAGACTCATAATCATAAAAAACACCATCCCAGAATGATATTCTATCATCAGGTTCTACTACCAGGGACAAGCACATTTACAGCCAGTTCAAACCAGTTTAGTCATGGCCAAAGTAATAAAATTGGAACAGATGGAAAGCAACACAGATGCAGAGCAGCATGGCCAGCTGCCGTCTTTTAACATGGCACTGTTGTTTCCAACTCTGCAAGTCAAGAGATTTGGTTGCTATGCAATGTACACACTGTCTTTGTTTTCTGAAGAAGATAAAATTTGTAGCAGAGAGGCATTCCGTAAGTTTTTCTAGTCTAGTTATTGTTCTGGTACATTCACACTTTGCATATTCGGGTGTGTTCCACTTCTACTTCATGGGTCATGATTAAACCAGAAAGAATGGGTTTGAAGCCCTGGGAACAAGGAACCCAAATCACCAACTTCGTATAAACTGGGAAAAATTCTAAAGACAATTTCTCGTCATCTTTAGCTACAAACTACCCCTGTACAAATGCAGATGGTGGTCTTACCGGGTTAGCTCTTCACGAAGATTATTTGGTTCTGAGGAATAAAACTTAACTCGAAGATGCAGACAATACGGTGAACCAACTGCCATTTAAAAGTACAAAAAAAAAAACAACTTTAGTTTTTATTTACCTATCTTAATAGTATGTTCAAGCTCACCAGCTGCTCCTCGGAAACAGGGTCATTATGGGTCGAAATTGACTTGACAGTACTTAACAACAATCTTAATAGTATTATGAATTTTCAGCCAGTAAATATAATAAAAATTTACTGAAGCAGGGGTAGAGGTAGGGAACATTATTTCAGGTTAGTTTGGAGGCTTAACCATGAAGCACACACACAAAAAAATCCAATCAGTAGATTTTTCAATGCAACAACTAACTTATAAGTACTCTTATAACAATTTTGGTCTGTCCTCCCATGAACAGAATACTCTAGGATTAAGTCTAGTTCAGAGCAAAATACATGGAGTAAAAAAAATCTTTAATGTATAATTTAACAGCTCTGAAAACAGCAGAGGTGTATTTCTTGAGAGCACAGAGGAATGCCTCTGCTGTTTAATTACTCATGATAAATTCTCCCACACACCTTTAATTTCACTTCAGCTAGTTCACTAACTAACCTCTATGTTCTTGATGGCTCCATTATTTTGTAAAGACAAGAGTGTAACTGCTCTGAAAATCTCTGCTACTACAGAAGACAAACGATTACGGCTTGAATTCTGGTACTTTCCCTTGACTACTGTTAGGGATAATACATTTTATATGAATTCATTTCATTTCATTCTTAATAAAAAAAAAAAAAAATTACATCCTTAAAGTCCCACAATATTATCTAGAACAGAACAGACACTAAACAGAAGCCAAACAGGAAAATTCCAGCAAGACTGATTATTAAATAAAGTTAAGCATTTCATGCAAAGGCAACCCCATTTGTAAGCTGCAAACCTCTTGCCTGGAAACAGGACACTTGACCCTAAATTAGCATCAAGCATACATAACTTTGGGGGTGGGTCTGTATATTCGAATGAAATTATTTTTAAAAAGCAAAGATGTAAATAAATAAATAAATAAATAAATAAAAGTATTTCTACTAGGGTTCCAGTTCCTACATCATGGGTTGATTCCAGGTAAAACATGTTTAAACACGTCTCTTCTATCAGTGGATGGCTGCAGACAAGTTCTTTCAGCAATACATTTGTTTTATCTCATTTTGTTGTTGCTAAGAGCCATTGTGTCTGTTCCAACATATAGCTACCTCATACAGAGTTTCCAGTGGTTCAAAGTCCAGTGAGTTACCATGCTTCCTTAGCCTCATTGTGTGTTGTTTTTAATTGCTGTCCAGTGGGCTCCAACTCATAGCGATCATGTATAGAGTTTCCAAAAAGTGGCTGGTGGGTTTGAACTGTTGACTTTTCTGCTAGCAGTCCAGTGCTTATCCGATAGTGCCACACTAGGACTTCTTAGTCTCACTGTTGTTGTTGTTAAGTTCCATTCATAGTGACCCTGTATAGGATTTCTTAGAAGTAACTGTTAGCTTTAAATTTCTGACCTTGTAGTTAGCAGTACAGTGCCTTAAAACAAAAAAGATCCATTCAAAAGAGTGACTTGCTAGAGATTCTGCTGGGTCAATTACATTTTTTAAATTCAAGTCAGAGAAGTCAGTTTAAAAAGTCACGGTGACTGTTTTATGGGGGGATTTCAAAAGTGGAATCTCAGAGATGCACAAGAACACCATACTTGCAGATAGTACCCACCTGACCTGGCTTCAATGGCTGGATGATCAGAACTCGACTAGAAGAAAAAAAAAGAGGGGAAATAAAAAGAGTAACCTGCTACAATTTGATGAACTTTACGTATACTTATGAATGTGGTGGTGGCGGTTACGTTCCGTGGAGTCGGAACCGACTCATAGCGACACTGTGCAGGGTTTCTGAGGGTGTAAATCTTCACGGAAGCAGAAAGTCTCATTTTCTCCCGTGGAACAGCTGGTAGTTTTGAACTGCTGGCCTTAAGGTTCACAGCCTTCTTAACCAATACGATTTGTAACAAAAAAGAGAACAAATCTTTACAACAAGGATCACTCCCACCCCCCTCAGCACACAGGGTTGACAGGGATGGGCAACTTAGACATTGGCTACCCAAAATGAGGGTGGCCTATAAAGACAAGAAGTGAGTGGTTTACAAGCTTTCAAGAGGGAACCTAGTTCCAGACAGAACGGGGGAAGGTAGAATCACCACTGAATGGTTTTCCAATCCTTTGGGACTGGGCTGGCAAAAGGAAATGGGGATAAGACTCTTAAGGTACAATAATGAATAATTGCCATCAGGGCTGTGAGTGTAGGAAATATAGAGGTAGATGTTTTTTGACAAAAGGAGGAGAGTGATTGATTTTGCAGCCCAGGAGCGGAGGTCCCTGGGACCATCAAGTGAGAATACTGGAGAACGGGACCCTACCCAGAGAGGCAGTGATGCCAGGGATGGAGACAGAGATGGTGACATGGAGAGATGGA